GCCCTTTAGCCATGGATGGAGGAATGGGAGGCAAGCAAAGTCCGAGGGCAAGACAGCAACTGGTGCCACCCCTGACCAGCTGCAAAGGTCAGGCTCGCTTCTGCTCTCTGACCCTGCGTTTCCTCATCTAGAACATGCAACAGCTAAGCCTTCTCCTGAAGTTACTTCTGACCTCTGCGGTGATTAAAAAAGAAAAAAAAACTTGCTCCTGCATGGTAAAATCATTTCATTTTTTAAAAAGCATTTTTTATTCTGCTCGCTTTCTTGTTCCAGCCAGCACCTGAGTACTGGGGACCAGAATGCTCCCCACGCAGCAGGGGGCTGAGGCTTTGTCATAAGCGTTGGTTGTTAAAGATTATGAGATGTCAGATTAGAGAGATGGCTCGGTCATTAGAAGCACTTGCTAACCTCACAGAGAACCGAAGTTCAGTTCTTAGCATCCACATAGTGGCTCACAACCATTCACAATGTCAGTTTCAGGGGAACACAAGGCATGTACTTCATGCACAAACACACATGCAAATCACACACACACACACACACACACACACACACACACACACTTTAAAAAAAGATCGTGAGACATCTAAGAAGAATCAAACCATTTAATTTAATAATAAGATATATTTGGGGCGTGGAGAGATTGCTCAGTGGTTAAGAGCACTTGTTGCTCTTCCAGAGGTCCTGAGTTCCATTGCCAGCAACCACATGGTGGCTCACAACCAAATGTAGTGAGATCTGGCGCCCTCTTCTGGCGTGCAGGCATACATGCATCCATAAGAAAATAAGTCTTAAAAATGTTAATTAAGCCGTTTGATGATGGCACATGCTTTTAATCCCAGCACTTGGGAGGCAGAGGCAGGAGGATCTCAGTGAGCTTGAGGCCACCCTGTTCTCCAGAGCAAGTTCCAGGACATTCAGAACTGTTACACAGAGAAACCCTGCCTAGAAAAAAAAGTTAAATAAATAAATAAATTATATTTAGTCATAAGAATTACTAAATTTTTAGTTGAACTATTAAAATTAAGTTACAAGACCTTACAGCTTAAATAAGCTGTATTTAATCAGAGCAAACGCTCAAAACTCATTTTTTTCCTAAGCATTTTGATGTATCAATGTTCTTTTTTTATTTGTTTGTTTTGTTTTTCAAGACAGTTTCTTGTGTAGCCTTGGCTGTCCTGGAACTCACTCTGTAAATCAGGCTATCCTCCAACTCAGAGATCTGCCCATCTCTGCCTCCTGAGTGCTGGGATTAAAGGTGCCACCACCCACTGGCCATATCTGTATTCTTTAAACTTACTTTTATTTGTATGTATATGTGTGCTTGCTTGTTTGTGTGTGCACTCTGTGTATCCAGGCTAGAAGGGGACAGCAGATCCCCTGGAACTGTAGGAACAGGCACTTGTGAGATAGTCGACGTTGGTGCTAAGGATCGAACTGGGTCCTTTGCGAGAATAGCAAGGGCTTTTGAGTCACCTCTCCATCCCTAGTGTCTGTATTCCTGAGAGTCTGGAAGGGATGGAGCCTGGGCAACGGGTGTCTGCTGCCCGGAAGCTGAAGCAGTAGTGTCACTGAGAGAGGAGGAGGTGGGAGAAGGGGGCAGAATACACAAGGGCTGCTGGATAATTCTACACAGACAGCATGGGTGGCCAACTAGGTGCTGCCCTGTTCTTGACGTTTGGGAGTCCAGCTGCTGTGTGGCAAAACTCACTACATCTGTGCATCTCCTTCCTCCCGTTCAAAACTGAGCACAGTGAGAAGAATTACACAATAGAATCCAGTGAATGCTACCATGGGAGCTCCTGTACCAGAGAGCAGATTCGCCGGCACTGCCCCTGACTGGAGAGGTTGACAAAGTGAAGTGCGTGAAGTCTGGGCGCCCCTCCCTCAGAAGCAAGTGGATCTGCCAGCAGAAGGAACCTGTGGCCCAGCCTTTGCCTTACCGCAGCGCAGCGCTGACTCCTCAGAAAGCTCACCCACCCCAACCCACTCCTCTCACAGCTTCTCCGCTCATCTTCTCTCCTTCAGCTCTGGCTTGGAAGGCGTGCTGAGATTCTCTGGTGGAAATACTTTCTTTGTTTCGCTGAGGAGAGAACCTCACAGTTCATAACTGCCCTGTGTTTTTGTGTTACCCAGGCCTTTAGGCAGGGGTAGGGCCAGAGTGGGGAAGAAGTCTGAACACGTGAGGCCTTGAGACGTTTCCACCCAAAAGCTACAGAACCTACAGGCCCGGGAGAAGCAGAATATAAAACTGAAAGGCAGCCTTCCTTATTAGCTTCCCGCCTAAACCTCCAGGGTGTGTCCTTGGGGGGCGTGTGAGCCTAGGCAATGAGGCCCAATGCTGGTTCTGAACCTCCAGCCTCCATTCAGCTGCCAGTTTCCTGGAGCAGATCTCCAAGTTCAGAGCTGTGTGACTGTTCCTGAGTGTGATGAGTGGGAGGCGAGGCCTGTCTGGAAACAGCCCTGCCTGCAGGCCGAGGGACTGGGTGTGAGGCTCTGCTGGGGGCTGCTTCTGGCTCCTGGACTCAGGGACTGCTTCCATCCAGAGCGAAACCTTTTCATCTTCTCAGCTGAGTACCTGGCTGTTCAAAGTCCGTCTGGACGGCTCCCGCAATGGCTTTACCAAGGCTTCGTCAAGGGTCTGCTCAGCCTTGTCCTTAGAAGACTGCTCCTGCCCCACCCAAATTCTTGCTCATAGCTCACCCTCCTGCCCACCGGGAGCCAGGCAGCAGACAGTGTTTAGGCATGTCTGAGAGTTTCTGCTACATACAGGGTTGCTGACAGTTTACAGGCATGTCTGAGAGAGCTTCTGCAACATAACTTTTCTGGTGGGAAGTTCCAGCAAGTAGACATCTAAAATGAACCCCTGTGGAGATGAGGACTTTTGTGCCACACATAACTGCTTATAGCTCCCCTTGAGTGCCCCAGCACTGATGTGGAGCTGGACGGTAGAGGGATCTTCTCAGCGGAAGCAGCCAGGGATCTTTCTGGAAGGATCCAGTGGCTAATGCGTAGGCTGGCACTTGGTGCATGGTCCCTGTAGTAAGTTGTTTTCACACGTTGGGTTTCCTACCTTCACAGAGGGGAGGAAGGTGCTAACAGTATTCTCATTTTAGACGAGGAAGTGGCGGTATGTGTGATAATGAAGTTGTTAGAATCAGTGGGGAACAGTGAGGATTGGGGGGTTGGTCTTCTCTGGACACCTCTGCTCTATGCCCTGACTCCTGAGAAGGGGGAGAAAAGCAGGGCATCATGGCATCCTGGTAAGGACTTAGGCAAGCCAAAAAAGGCTACGTCTGTGTGTCTCTATGCTGTGCCCATCCTCTTTTCTTTCTTTTTTTTTTTTTAAGTGATTTATTTATGCAGTATCCTGCCTGTAGGCCAGAAGAGGGCACTAGATCCCATTATACGTGGTTGCGAGCTACCACGTGGTTACTGGGAATTGAACTCAGGACCTCTGGAAGAGCAGTCAGGGCTCTTAACCGCTGAGCCATCTCTCCAGCCCCCCATCCTCTTTTCTACAGATGCTTAGGTTAGGGAGATTGGCAACAGAGCCCCTGGGCAGTGGTGTCCTCTGTACTATGGCTCCCCCTCCCCGCACTGCATTGTACTTGGTGGCTACCCTAGGACCCAGGCAAGGTTAAGGGACACTGACAGGGAGCACATGGAACTTGTTTTGGAGTTTGGTCCACCACACTCTTCCCGCCTCCATTCTGTCTCGCGGGGATCCAGGCCCTTCAGGCCAACAGTCAGTCTCAGTACCCTTTGTCAGCTGTTGCTGCCTATGGGAGATCTATTGGGAGACGGTGGTTCATGAAGAGGAGAACCACCCCGCCGTCTCTGCCTCTTCCCACCAACTCACGAGGCACTGTGGTCCCAGCTGGCCATGGCAGTTCAGGATCGGGCCCACCCTAGTGTCTCTTACACCACCCCCAGTTACAGGGGTGCAGCCAGCAGTGGTTATAATGTCTTCGCCTGCTGATCTCTGAGTTCTACTTCCTCTTTAGCTGCTCAGCAATTCTGTCACTTGTGTCTCCAGTTCCCCAAATGACATTTTTTATGTTTCAATACTTGTGATTGTCTTTGTTTGCCTGAATCGATCCTGGATGACTAAAACTCTCTAATCAGGGATACTTGATAGTGTTCCTGTACCTAACCCATCTGAGACAGGCTCTCTGGAAGAAGAGCATCATGACGTCTGACCCTGCAGAGAAGCAACCCCAGAAATGTCAGGTCTCTGCCTGGCTGCGTCCTGGTTTCTCAGGTCAGCCTCTGTTTCCCTGAAGACTCCTCCAGCCCTTGACTCCATAGCTTTAAAAGAAAGCAGACACCTTAGCCAGGCTTCCTTCCAGGAGTTAGGAAGCCGGACTCCAAGCCTGGGGCTGGGGGCTTCTCTGTGTTGATAGTATACAGAGGGATTAGGGAAATGATGGGGGAGAAGAATTCCGTTTCTCTAGGGCCAGGTCCACATGGTGACTCCTTCATTCCTGCATGGATGTGATCGTGACTCCACGCTGCCCTTTCTCTGGCTCCTTCTTGCTCCCAAATGACTAGAGCTGTGCCCTTCTCAGCAAGCGCCCCTTCTACGATGCAGTCATGGGGATGGAGGCCATTTTTCTCCTGGAAATAAATACTAGAAGATCCAGGGCGAGGCTGGGGTGAGGACGGGTGAGTTGTGTGCTCTCCAGAGGATGGAACAAGCTCCCTCGCCAAATGGCACTTTAATGCCCTTGCAGTTCCCATGCCTAAAGAAGAACGTAATTGCACTCCGCTGCCGGGGCTCACCTGGCGCTCCATTGCTCACTTGGGATGCTCCGTTCCCGCCGGAGCATGTGATTGGGAAGCAAAGGTAAGTGGGAACAATCTTTTCCTCCATCACCCACCCCAGCAGGATTAATGCCTCGGCCATAAAGCATTTACAAACTCTAGAGGAGGATAATAACTTTCCTTCTCACGGCCCAGTCACAAGGAGGCAGTGCATGTTTCCAATAAGCTGAAAATGTAGCTCAAATGGTAGGTTTTATTTCACTTTAATCCACCTGTGAGTTCACGTTAAAGGTAAGAGGAATCAGAGTCCCGCAACGTAAACCAAGTTCATTGAAATCATTGGTTTAGCCCCTCCCCCAGATCTTGGCTAGATGGAAGGGCTGGGGCAGCTGACTGTGACCCAGAGGCCAATGGATGGAGTAGGAGGCAGGTGTCCCAGCTCGCGCTGGTTTCTGGGCAGCAGAGGTAGTGAGGAACCGGCCACACTCAGTGAAGCTTGCTTGTTTCTGACATCTCGTGGTTGATGGCGGCCTGGTGGTGCGGTGGGTCATTGTAGAAATGATTCTCTGTCCAGGTCCTCAGCTCTACTGGTCAGTCAGTCACTGGGAGGCCTGAAACCAGACCCCTCAACTAAAGCTTCCTTTCCACATTTATGGAGCAACTGTTCCCTTGATGTCTTACTGCTGTTCCCTTGGTGTCCCGCTGGTGCTCCCTCAGTGCCCTGCTGATGCTCCCTTGGTGTCCCGCTGGTGCTCCCTCAGTGCCCTGCTGATACTTGCTTGGTGCCCTGCTAGGGCTCGCTTGGTGCCCCACTGATGTTCTCTCAGTGCCCTGCTGATGCTTCCTCAGTGGCCCGTTGGTGCTCCCTGGGTGTCCTGCTGGTGCTCCCTTGGTGACCCACTGATGCTCCCTCGGTGCCCCGCTGGTGCTCCCTCAGTGTCCCATTGGCAGAACTGACTGCTGCTCCTTCGTCTACCAACAAGTATTCTTTCAGGTTAAGAACTGTCCTGTCCAGACCTCTAACAGGGTGGCCTCTTGGTACACTATGACTTCAAGCAGGACTGGTGTGTGTAGATGACAGGCTGGCATAGCAAGGTGGGTATTGCTGGTGTGTGCCTGGGACAGGAAGCAGAGAGAGGAGATTTGGTAGGTGACTGGCCTGGACTCAGTCTAGTCAGCTGATCCATGACTGGCATTGCTCAGAGCTGTTCTCAGGGTCTTCTGGAGGAGCCTGCCCTCTTGCACCTCTATCAGAGACTAGAAGTGCTGGCAAGAGGGCATCATCTCTCCTTTGCCATGACAGCCACCAGTGCTGGCGACAGGACACCGTCTCTTCTTCACCACGACAGCCACCAGTCACCATACAAAATCCCAAAGCTCAGATTCCAGTTGAGTTGAGGTCCAAAGGCTTAAGGAGGAAGAGAAAGGAAACACTGCCGTGTTCTGTTTGAGGCAGGGAAAGGACTGACAACTCTGTCTCATCCTCCCAGGCTCTCTGGTCTTCTTGACCTCGCTGGCTGCTTAGCTTCTTCCACTGTGGGCCTCTGAGTGCTGGTGTCTGCAGGTTTACCTCGGACCTTTATCGCTGTTGGCCTCACATCCTCTGTCCAGCCCCATCCCAGCCCCTGGGAGAGCAACATCCCACAGTCCTGAGCAGATAGTGTCGGCTTGGGAAAGATGTGCATTAGCAGTACCCGTGAGGATTAAACAGCTTCAACAGGCAGGGCAGGGAATGACCTTGGAATTTCCAGACGTCATCTGTGGGACTGCAGTGATCTGACATCCATCTGATCATAAGCGATCCTCTACATATGGCAGGTGCATTTGCAGCATATGTGTACACACAACTGAGCCCACAGGACCACACACGCTTAGTTTGTTCCATTGCACTGGCCATTGCGAACCGACCCTCCTGAACGCTTACTGTGTGCCACAGACAACTGTACAGCCAGTGCCCCATTTTCCTTCTACGGTGACTCTTTTGTAGGAGTCACAGGTCCAAGTGAGCAGCGTGAATCGCCCAGAGAGCTCGAAACGACCTGTGTTTTGTGCATATAGGTGTTTGCATGTCTGCATGTTCATATGCCTCCATGTGCTTACACCCGTGGCCACACAGGTTGCCCTGCTGGAAGCGGGGAGGTTTAGAGCATTCATAAGAGATGGTTAGAAGGAGCCTGTGTAGGCAAGAGAAGTGGCAGTGTTGTCAAATCCACAGACCAGGGTCTTGAAGTCAACCTTGAAATCTCAAGTGGTGGGGGGAATGGGGGCCTGAATCTGATGGTTTGAGTTTGTGTTTTGCCAGAGGAGGGAGGTCTAACAGAGTTTGCTGTCTTGAACACTTAGCACAAGCCAGGTGTACGCTTGTGGCTGATGCCTCGGGAGACAGATGCGGGGTAGCGAGCTCAAGGCTACTCTGAGACTCACAGTGAGACTTCGTCTACAAAAATAATAAAACTCAAGAGAAAAAAGAGTAAGAAAACGAGAAAGAGGAGGAGGAAGGAACATTTCCGAGGAGACTTTGTGAAATGAGCCAGATGTTTCCTGGCATTTCCCCTCCCTGTGCCTGGCCTGTCCTCCTTTAGCCACTTTTCAGTGTGGTATCTATGAACTGAGATAAAATAATTAAGTCATTTGTTCCCATTGCTTATCTCTCCCGAGGAAGAGCAAGCTGCAGGAAGGCAGATTTTATTTGGCTTTGTTTATTCCTGGATCCTGAGACTTGAAACATGTTTGGTATGAGGTGGGTGTTTGGCGCAAGTTCATCAAAATGAGGGAAGGAACTGCTTTGGGAGTCTTGGGGGCCATTCACAGCCTAGCCAGCATCCTCCCAGGTAGACCATGCTCTCCTCCATCTTATGTCTGTGGTCTGAGGGTACTCAATTCATAATTTGTTGGAGAAGGAACTTCCCAAGCCTTGATGCGAGTAGGTCTTGTCTCGTGGTATTTTCCCTATGGGGAAGAAGCTGGGGGCCAGAGAGCAGCGATGAGCCTTCCTGTGTCTGCCTTGGGCACAGAGATGTAGGGAATGAATGGGGCGTGACAGAGGTGTCACAGATGCTGGGGCTGTGAGTCTGGTTGTGGGGAGCACTGTGCCTTCAGTGTTTTGGGTGCTCTCTGGCAAAGTGTGGGCTTATGGCGGTTACCCGAGTCTGAAGGACTCTCCTGCCCTCCCAAAAGTCAATGTGTTTCTAAGTGACAAGCAGCTGCTAGCCCTCTGCTCCCTTCTCACTGAGAAAATTCTCCAACCCTTGCCTGCTGGGCTCCTGAACTACCCCACCCCTAACCCCACAGGGAAGATAAGCCCAGCAGGCGTCTGGTTTACTCTAAGTGGATAACTTGGTGGACTTCAGACACAGCCTTGCCTTCCAATCATGGAATTAGTTCTGAAAGAGCCTACTTCTCCAGGAAACCGTCTTTCCCTGAAGATCTTTGCCCTCTGGTGAGCAAAGGCCTTGGTCCAAAAATGACAGAGAATGGGAGAAGAGAAGGAAGAAGAAGAAGAGGAGGAGGAGGAGAAGGAGGAGGAGTATAGAGAGCTGCGTGATGTCATGCCTTACAGGTAGCGCTGATTCCCACCTTCCACCTTTCCAACGGTGAATGCTCTCAGATGTGTAACAATTCCATATATGACTAATGCTAAGATCTAGCTTGCTTCTGCGTTTCTGGACCTATCTGCGTTTCCCACGTGGCTTGCTGGGGTTGGCTACCCAGAGGTTATTTAAGCTGTAGACTGGCTTTTCCCCGGGGCGAGAGGTTGCGAGAGGTTACGAGAGATAACAAAAGGGTGAGAAGATTATTCTAAGGTCCTGAATAAATCACAGTTAAGAAGAGCACCGTCTTCATACGTGACAGAGGAGGAGGAGGAGGACGAGGAGGACGAGGGGAAGAAATAGTCAAACAGTCCTGTGGCTTCTAGCTCCCCTCCTGGAAGCTCTGAGCTCTGCTTACAGCCTTCCCAGAAACTCCTACCTACCTTCCCAATTTCCTCTCACACCTCTTCCAGGTCCCCCCCTCCCAGCTCCACACTACAACATGGCATACATGTGGCCCATCAGGGAATCCTACTGAGTATGCCAGCTTAATGAAATACTTTCAGTTTATTAAACACAGGCTTTCCTAAGCCCCGAGTGCCTGTGGGTATTTGAAAGCTGAAGGCAACCCCGAGCTACCCCAAATGTCATCTCTCCACGTGTCCTTGCATTCCTGTTGTGACCCTATGCTTCTGTTCTTCAGCAGCATGTAAAATGAGCAACATAAAGTAACTCCTAGCCAGACAAGGGAGGAAATGGTGTGTGTGGGGTGGGGTGGGGGGTAGGGGAGACTCCCAGAATCCCTCAGGGCCTCTAAAAGTATATGAAGTTCCCATTACCCAGAGCCGTGAAGGGTACTTCTCCACCCATGGGCTGCTCAAAGTTTACAGAATCAGTTCTCTATGAGTGGGGCGACCATCAGGCCTTGTATGTCAACTTTGTGCATCAACCTCGCATGCTATAGCTCAAATATTTCAAACCCTGTTTTAGCAAGGCTTGCTCTCAGCTAGCAGGACAGGCAGGGTGCAGTGTCTGGGGGCTCCCTCTGGAGTTTTATTTCTGTTCTTCCTCCGGGGCTTGGCTGGAAACCGCTGTCTGAGTCCAGGAAGAGCCATGGGGAGACCCCAAGAGACCATGAGTTGCCTCCCCACAAACAGGAGGAGTCTCTTTCTTCACAACGTTTTCCCATTCGTCAGTCTCCTGGGCCTGGGGTCTGTAAATCAGGGGTGAGGAGCTGAACCGGAAGTAGCAGACAAAGGCCTCAAGGGAGTTGCCCCCCTCTCTGCGGACTACCATCTGGATGCCGGAGAAGGAGATTCTGTTGACTGTGCTGAGGGGGACCTGCTCCAGGTACCTCAGTGGCAGCCCGTTGACCCACACACAGCTCTTGCGGGACAGTACCTTGAGGCAGAAGGCTAGCAGAGTGCTGCCTTTCTCCAGGTAGGGCTCCAAGGACAAATGGTGTCGGGACAGCTGGGGCAGCTGCAGCTGGATGTGGGTGTCCTTCCCTCGTCCCACCAACAACCGACTGGTATCATGCAGCAGCTGTAGTGGGACTTTGGCAAAAGCACCTTGGCCTGGCGTGGAGTGGTACAGGCTCACTTGCAGGACGGTGAGGGTCCTCTCCATGGATGAGATCCTGGGGAGAATATGACAAAGACACACTCACCTCTGTGGCTTTCTGAGCCCAGATAAACTGCTCACCTTGGGGGTCCTGGGACCACATCTTGCCAATGAGGACCACGGCTAAATGGAAACAGTCATTCTGCCCAAGCCAGGACGGAGTGGAGGTTGACATTAGTGTCAGAACTCTGCTTCTTCACAGCAGGACAGGACACATCGCCCGTCCTCTCTGGGTTGTACTATTTTGTAATAAAGGCATGCCTATCCTTCTAGGCATGGCATGGGATAAACCTTACTAGCTTACAGGTTGGAGTCTGAGAGTCTGCACATCACCGGAGACAGTTTGTCTCTGTGTCTGAGGAACAGGGAAGCAGACGTGCGGCTTCCTTGTGTCTGGCAGGCACAAACAAACAAAGCCTCGCAGAGCCCTTTTTGAACCAGGTGTCAGCCCGGGTGCTGTGGTGAAGCAAAAGGAGACAGCCTTCACTCTTGGAGGCACCGCTCTTGAGGGGGAAGATATGGTGCTTCCAGATAAGGAGGTACAGAGCAACATAAAGGGGTCCTGAACATAGCAAGCACCTGCTTGGTGCTACCAATGGGCCAGACACCATGTCTCCTGAACATCCGGGCAGAAGGCAGATCCTGGTGGAGACTGGGCAGAGGGAAGCTGGCTCAGTGGAGACCCCTCAGGGCCTCCGAGAAATGCACATAAGGTCCCACAACTCCACCTCCAGGAACTTGTCCTTCAGTGTCGGATGGGCACACATGGGAGGGACCATCCTATGCTCGGCTTTGTTCCTGCCTGGTTTTGAAGGACAGACTCTGTCACATCTACACACCTCACAAAACCCCAGATTTGCCACTAATTTCAACAGGAACCAAGGGCTGAGCGGGGCTCAATAACAATTATATACCTTCTCTAGTGCTTGGCTTTGGTCTGCAGTACTGTTTTTTTTTTTTTTCTGCTAAGAATGATTGTACCATCCTAGACTGTGTGTGAAAACATTGCTCATTTCCCAAGGCCCAATTCAAATACTTTCTTCTCTAGAGAAGATGACCTTATCTGTGTCCTCTAACATCGGTCACAAGGGTACTCAGCCAACCCCTACCCCCTCACACACATCTGCATTCCCACCCCCAGAGTTCTGAAGGCTCTTGTCTTCCTCAATCTCCTCTCTTGTCTCCCTAAGGTCTCCCAGTGGCAGAGTGTGACTCGCCATGTAGTCCAGAGAGCACTTGGCCACAGCAAATGTCTGGGGGCACATCTGCCAGGAACAAGGTAAGGCAACATCACATATAATGGATGATATTCAATCAACTATAGATGGCAGCTTGCTTCCTAAAGTCTGTGGAATAGGGAGCCTATGCTAGATTGCCACCCTTTGCTCTGTTGCTTTATGAATGTAGTATGTCAGTGGGGACCTAACCGGCAGTAGAACCAAGTCCCCTGAGGATATTCATTCCCTAGCAGGCAGACACACACCTCTGGCCACTGCCTTCTGGCCCCGAAGAACACTTCTTCCTGAGGCAGGGCCCAGGATTGAGGGCTGTGTACCAGAGCTCTCAGGCCTGCTGGGAGTATAGCGTTCATCCTTTAGAAACCAACACTGTGACCCATGGGTACTGTTAATAAGCAAGGCCCTGTGAGATCTCTCTCTGCATTACTGAGCAGTCAGAGCTAGTGGGAGCCTGCTCTCTGCCCAGCAACACATCTGCAGAGGCTGACCTGTTTGTCTTGGATCCCAGTGGATCTGGGAGAACAGAAACTCAGACCTCTACTGCCCACCATGACTGACAAACAGGAATGCTGGTTCTGGCCGGGAGTCCTCCCCTTAGCCCCACAAGGCCTCCCTGGTAGTCCCAGTTCCTCTGACCTCCACCTACCTTACTGCTGGGGTAAGTCTCTGCAGCTGTGTGCTCTCTCTGCAGGGAAGGGACTGGGCTGTGGCAAGGCCTGGGCGGGCTCTTCTACAGTTCAGGAATGCGTTGTCAGAGCATCTGTCCTATGGCTCTTCCGTTTTCCCTCTAGGAAAGAAATGAAAGTGTCATTTTCCATGACAGAAGAGGAACCCACTGCCAGACTTGCGAAACTGGTACCCTCTAGGAGGGTCCTCTTGACAGTGGGGTGTCCTGGGCCTCAGTACACCCAGCCTTTACTATTCCTTCCTCTTAATATTGGGGTGTCCTGGGCCTCAGTACACCCAGCCTTTACTATTCCCTCCACTTGATATTGGGGTGTCCTGGGCCTCAGTGCTCCCAGCCTTTACTATTCCCTCCTCTTGATATTGGGGTGTCCTGGGCCTCAGAGCTCCCAGCCTTTACTATTCCAGCCCCTTGACACCCTTCCTCTCCCGTCTGAAGGCAGAGGGCTGCTGGGCAGAGAGCTCCTAGATTACGGGGTTCCTTTCAGCTGTCGGGGGTTGGTTAAGGAAGTCATAGGTAATGGCAGCTCTCCAAGGTATCTCAGGATACCCAGGGGAGGGAAAGCATGACCACTCGTAGAAATAGGCCCCTTTTGGCACACAGAGAAGGCCTTCTGCTAATTTTGTCCCGTTTCTCCCCTTAATCATACAGAAGACACCGTAGTTCTTCAGAAACTTGCTTGGCCTGAGACCCAGCTTGGACAAGACCGCCTGAGTCCACTTTCCTGTCTTCTTTGTTTTCTGATCCCCTGGTCCTTTCTCTCAGGACCTGTCCCTGAAGAGTGACCTGCTGGTTCAGATCAATGAAACAACAAGGATGACATTCTAAAATGGGGTTCAATATAGATGTTAGATATGTTTCAAATATCTACATATTTATGTATGTATTACTAAAGTCCAGGTAGGTGGGAGGGTTACATATAGATATAGTGTTCCAAATTCTTCTCAATTGTCCAGGATGCAGAGACATGAACTAAAGGTAGACTTAATAATCTAAAGGCACATGGTCTAATTTTCTATGTAATCAGGAAATAATGTCTCCGAGACAAGCTAATAGCTGGAGAATGGAATAAAAATTACAGTAAGGGCTTCATGCGCTTACAAAGGGCAGCAGGAAAAGCGGACATCTAAGGAGGTGGGACAAGGATAGTTCAATCCTGGCTTGCAGTTGGGTTGGGTAGAATGGGAGAGAGCCTGGCATGCAATACTTTCCCTGAGCAGAGACTCACTCATTCCAGAGGCTTCTGCTGCTTTCTTATAAGAAGGCGTGGTTTGGACCCTCTGATACAATGTCTTAGAGGCTGTGCTTGCTCAAGGGAGCTCTGGGTAGCCATGGCTATTCCTGGGTCTTTCCTTTCCTTTCTACCCCAGAGCTGGTGCTGAAATAACCGACTCCAAGGCTCAGAGGCGACTTGCCAGGGTCACATAGTGAATCTGCAGCACAGCCAGATGAGGGCCCAGAAGAACTGATCCCCAGGCTCCATGGCCTCGCCGTAGTGCAATACCTTGCTTGCTGGGCCACAGAATCCCTCTAGGCCATGTTTTGGGGACAGTCTTTGGGGTCTGGAAAAAGTATGGCTCTGCCATTGGTGATTCAGGACAGGTGGGAAGGAGCCAGGCTGCCACTGGGAGTCACCAATGGCAGGAAGCAGGGAGCTTTGACCGGTGTTAATGTGAATGTGGCTTTAGTGCCTTCGACAGCCCTTTCTTCAGTTTTCCCCAACTCCTCGTGCCCTAGTCCCCCTGGCATAGAAAAAGAAGGAGTGGAACACTCATGTCACTGTGGAAATTCTCTCCTGACGATTCTTGGTGACCAGCTGGCTGTCTCTTCAGGGAACTTAGCGGGGCAATAGTAACCCAAGGAGTGGCCTGGAGGATGTGGCAGGCATGCTAATTGCCTGGGGAGGGTGTGAAGCCATATATAGATTGGAAAGCTAGACTGGACCTCAGCTATATTGCCAAGGCTGTGTCCCATTCTGTGAAAACACCACAATCTCTCACAGATGGATGGATGACCAGAAGCCCAGTAGCCACAAGAAGGTGTCTCAAGGACTGCATACACACAGACGGACGAGCCTGCTGCACCTTGGGGCTTGGATGCTGCAGTCTTTGCCTACATAGGCCTCTCAAGTTTGAAGACAACTAAGCCCCCCTTTCTGCATGAAAGATCCTCCTCAGTGTTCCCCGGTCTTCTAGTTTACATGATACCTCAATGATACTCAGATGTTATGCCTCTCTATCTGCAGACCAGAGCCTGGCATGGGCCTTCGCCCACTCCTGAGTTTCCCCTCTAGAGAAGGGACACCCCTCCCGGCAACAGTCACGCCTCCACAAGGGTGTGAGTATGAGACAGTTTACAGTCTCTGCGGGGTAGAAGTTGCGGCTAAGAACACTTCCCATCAAGAAAGGGAAGTCAAACACTGGTGAGAGGAAGTTCTGTCCCAGGTTCTATTTTCTGAACGTAATAGGAACTCTCTGGATTTTTGGGGCTGGTGTGTGGAGACTATACTTCATGCCAGCTTTTTATGTGGAAGGTGGGAGGCAAAGTGAGCGGGAAAATAAAGCCAGGAAACGGAGGCATAGCCTCTCGGCCTCACTAGGAAGGTTTCCTCTGACTGGCTTTGCGTTATCCACACCACCACTGACTGACTGTTGGACTCTATGGGGTGTTGTTTCAGGGAGATGTGCCCCCATCACAAGCCAGCCAGAAAGCCCAGAAACAAAACAACCACTTCCTCAGATCTCCCCCTCAGGCTCCCATGCCCAGTCACGCTTGTCTGAGGCTTGCTCATTCAAGCAACAGTTGCATGACCTCAAGTCAGGCATCCTGTCTGGACCTCAGTTTTCTGCTCTGTAATTGGCTGCAGCTGGGAGGGCTAAATGTGTGGGAAGTGCCAGGCACGGCGAGATCTGCTAACTCAGCCTTAGCAGAGCCCTTAGCTGAAGTCCCGGAATGTACCCCAGAGGAGGGGCTCTCAGGAGAGCCTGACATACATAAAGCTTACATTCCCAAAAAGCTCCAGTTTGAGATCAAAACAGGATAGTTTAGGAGTGAAATATCCACCATGTAGGAGCATCACCTGAGTTCCATTTTAATCAAAATGAGCTAAATACAGCATGCTAGAAAGTCTCTGACCCTTTGAGGCAGAATGGGTCCCTGCTACCCATCTTATAGATGCGGAAACTGAGGCTGAAGCAGTCAGGTGGCTTGCTCAAGGTCATATGCATGGACAGCAGCAGGCCATGCTAGAGCTTAGTCTGTGAGGCTCCTGGACTGTATCTTGCATCCAGGTATTCTCTAGAATTTATCTGCCTGGCCAGCTAGCCACTCAGCTAAGGATGCCTGCTTCGGGCTCCCCAACCGACTTGGATGCTTTGATGTGTCTTGCCTTGAGAATCTGTGACAGTACCCTTGACCCGCTTTTCAAAGCTGAAGAAGGAGAAGAGACAAAATTCCTAGGAGAGCCACCCTTCTGATGGTGAATGCCCTAATCTGGCTTTGTTTGCTGTAATGAGACCCCGACAAAACTAGATTGGGGAAGGGAATGGTTTGTTTCAGCTTACTTTTCCAAGTGGCAGTCCGTCGCCAAGGGAAGTCGGGGTGGGAACTCAAGGCAGGAATTGAAGCATGGGCAATGAGGAACGCCACAGCCTGGCTTGCTCTCCAAGGCTTACTCAGCTACAACCTAGGACCACCTGCCCAGGGATGGCACTGCAGAATTAGGCTGGGCAAGCCCTCCCACATCAATCATTAGCCAAGAAAATGCTCCCACACATTCTGGAATATGTGTACACTGTGTGAAGATGCACTGTTGTGATTGGTGTAATAAAAAGCTGAACGACCAATAGCTAGGCAGGAGATATAGGTGGGATTTCCAGGCAGAGAGAAAACTCTGAGAAGAAAGGCAGAGTCACCAGAGAGACACAGAGGGAGAATAGGACACGCAGTACTGGGGTGAGGTAACAAGCTACGTCACAGAATATAGATTTTAAAAATATGAGTTAATTTAAGTTATAAGAAATAGTTAGAAAAAAGCCTCAGCTAAGGCCAAGCGTTCATAATTAATAATAAGCCCGTGTCATTATCCATGAGCTGGTGATCCGAAAAGAAAGTTAAATTACACCCACAGGCCTGCCTACAGGCCAATCTAATCAGAGGCAATTCTTCATTGAAGGGCCCTTCTTTCCGGGTGACTCTAGTTCAGTGTTGCATTGACAAAAAATAATCAATACAGTGAGAGAGCCTGGTTTGTTTGACGCCAGGTGTCAAGGGGGGCCCCACTCAGACTGCAGAGAGTGTAGAGATATGACAGGCTACATGGGGCAGTGGTCAGAGACGCAGAAGGGAGGACATAGGGAACAGTTGTCTTGTAAGATGGAGTGAGATGATCTTCCCATTGAGGGGAGCCTGGGAGAAGATATAGCCAAGCTTGGCCCTGACCACACCCTCCTGGAGCTGAGCATGGTTCTCTATGGTTGAGACAACACTTCCTGCCCCTGCCAACTCTCAGGAAGGGTGAGTGTTTGTGACTCACTGTGACTGTGACCCCCAAGGCGGGGGAGCCTTCTGCTTCTGTCATCAAATACATGAAAGAAAAAAATAGGAAGGCCTGTTTTGGTAGTTTCGTTACATTTCAACCTGTGGTAGCCTGCCTCCATTGCTTTGGGTCTGGGGCAAGGCAGAATGGCCAGGACCACGATGGAAGGGTGTGGTAGAAGGAAGGAGGTGGGGGGAGGGAGGAAGAGCTAAGGGTAAGGTATTCTCTTCAAAGACATGTCCACCTTCTACTGCTTCCTCCAACTGGACCCCACCGCCTGATAACCCAGTTGGATATGAGCTCATCCCTAGACTGACCCATTGATGAGGTCACACCCTCAGGGGTCAATGCCTGTCATTGCTGTAGGGATTAAGATGATGAGCTGTGGGAGACTCATCATTCAAACAAGCAGCCGCCAGGAAGACCTCCTGGAGGAGATGTATGTGCCTGGGTCTGTGTGATAATGAGGAGTTGGTGCATTGCTGGATGTGGGGTGAGGCCTGGTGGGAAGGCGGTTGTGGGGGTGGGTTCCTGTTCTGTAGCTGACTCTGCCTTGCCCTGAACAGAAATCATGGAATATTTGAATTTCAAAATACTAAAACATCTGATTCCTTCCTAAATACTATGTCTTGGCTCAATCCTCCCAGTAGAGACAAGGCCCACTATTCATTTATCTTTGTTATGAATGAGAAACTGAGGCAGAGCTAAGGAGGCCTCTTACTCTGGATCGTCTATACATACTGTCTCTCAAACCCAGATCTGATCTCCAAATCTTTACCCCTAACTCCTGGACTCCGTGTCAACCCAAGGGGCAAGCTCTCATGGACTGGGTGGGGCTCACACAGGTTGGAACAGCTCTGCTGTCCCTTGGCCTAAATCCTGATGGGAAGTGGAGCACGAGCAGGGTGGCCCTTCCCACTTCCAGATGCAAACACTGGGCCTCCTTGCAGAGACTGGCTGGTCTTCACCTGAGGATCAGAGCTAGTAGGAAGAGGAAGCTGCTGCTATTCTGGTCCACACTTCTTCCCCTATTCCAGGATTCATTATTAAAACAATTTCATTGCCCTTCCTATTTTTAATTTACAAAATTCTACTTAATGATAAATTCAACAATGACTGGAACCACGACCTGGGGGAGAGACCAGATCATACAGAGCTGGTTCCCTTAAGGCACCATTAATTCACATGTTTTGACTCCCCGTGTCCATAGGATGCACTGGTCGTCTCTCAGGCTGCCTGAGAACAGGGACATGGAGGAGGAGGCTTCCCAATGCCCTGGGTTCCATGCCATCTCCTCTTCCTTTACCTACAGCACCCTGATGACCAAAGGACCATAGAGCAAAAAGGGAACCTACACAGGGGTATTGTGTGCTAAGCAATGTATAATGAATGGGAAAGTATTTGGCTCACGGTTCAGAAGACTTGAAGTCTAGTAGTCTGATGGTGAATCTGGTAGGCTATTTACGCTCTGTCCTCACATGGGTGGGCAGGTGAGCATGCCAGACCCAGGATGAGGGCCACACTTCATCATCCTTTTATCAAAAACGACTCCTGAGGTATCTGTCCCATGCTCTGGTAACCATTAGTCCATTCAGGACGACAGGCCCCTCATAATCTTATTTCTCTTTTTTACATGTGTACATGTGTAGGGTGTGCACACATGTGTGTTTGCACATTCATGCGCATAGATACACGTGCGTGTCTCCATGCACATGCTTTGGGGGGTCAAAGGTTGATGTGAGATGCCTTCCTTAATTATCCTCTACCTTGAATACTGAGTCAGGCCTGTCACTTGAACACAGAACTTGCCAAATGATCTAATCTAACTAGTCACTTCCCTTGGCACCCTTCATCTCTGCTTCTAAGGACTGAAATTGCAGGTGGTCCACCTCGCCCACCCAGGATTGACACAGATGCTAAGAATTCAACCCCGGGTCTTCAGTTCCTGACACCTGCACCACAAGCGCCTTCCTCACCAAGCCATCTACTCAGCCTCTCGTCACCTCCCACGGGCCCCTAACACCATCGCAGTGGTGGTTGCATTTCACACACTGCTGCCTGGGAAGCTAGGCTCTGCTCTGCCATCGCTGCATGGCCTTCCCTGTCAAGGTGTGAATGAGCAGCTCCTCATCCTGGATAGGGCACCCATGACAGACCAAAGAACAGCTCCAGCTAAATCCAGGTTGGTTGGCCAATGGACTTATTAGATCTACTTACTTACAGGAGTGGGGATGATCCCCAAATTTCCCACCCACTATGGGTGATGACATCCCAAAATCTGTGCAGAAGTGTTCCCCTCTGACTAACTTTCCATTCCTATATACTCTTAGTGCCTCCAAAACCTTGCAGCTGGGTCCGCTGGGTTAGACTGAGGGGGTTGGAGGTGTAGCGGAGGGAGAGGGACCGCAATCTCAGACACAAGGAAAGCTTGACAGGCCCCATCCTGTGAGGATCTCTTGTGGGTAAGTACATCTGCTCTGCTTTCAGGATGGTGAGGACCAAGCCTGGAGGACAGAGTGCCACAACCACCATGGACTTGGCCTGATGCACGATTAATAAAAACTCAGGGTCAGAAAATGGGGTTCGACCTGAAGATCCGAAAAGCAAAACAGCCAGTCACTGGCTCTTACCTCTACCTCAGTCTGAAATAGAGATCCTGCCTCCCGGAATATTAGAATGAGACTGTCCGAGAGCTGTCTCCCCGCTATCTATTTTCCTCTCTAGGGCCGGGATTAAAGGCATGCACCACCTGATTTCTATAGCAACTAGGGTGGCTACTGGGATTAAAGGTGTGTGTTACCATAATCTGGTCTGTAAGGCTGACCAGTGGGACTGTTTTACTCTCAGATCTTCAGGCAGTCTTTATTTATTAAAATACACTTGAAATGCCACGACATTGCCCCCCACCCAGTCTTAGTTTCCTCAACTTTAGAATAGAAATAAATTGCTTCTGCACAGCCTTCCTCACCTCATCCCCAACATCTTCGTTAGTTCTGTTGGCGTAAAGGAGTAGGAAGGGGTCTCCTTCTTTTTTGGTTAATAATTCCATATCAGAATGTAA